GGGAGAGGGATGAGTGTAGAGGTCCGTGGCAGTGCTGGGGTGTGTGAGCTCGGGGGAGCGGGATCTGCGGGTAAGTGGGAGAGACAGAGAGGGGTCCCCCCTAGTCCCGGAGGGTCCGTTGCACGGTGCGGAGCAGCCTCGTCTCATTAGCATAACAGGCTCCGCCCACTGGTCCAGGGCAAGGGATGGTGGGAGGGAAGCAGCGAGATTTGCGGCTCTGGGATGGGAGGGGGTCAGTGGCTGGGAGCCGGGACTCCTGGGAGGGGCGTGGAGGCTGGTGACTTAGCGCGGGGGTGGGGGTGCGACTGGGAGGCAGGACGCCTGGGCTCGCCCCCTGGTTCTAGAGAGACTGGGTGTTAGGGTGGGGGAGGGATTGAGCCAGGACACCTGGGTTCCATAGTAAACTGAGGCCTCTCGCTCCTGCGGTTTGCCTCCGCTATCTGAACAGACCCCCCCCCCCGCCCCAGGGGGAAGGGCGCTGTTCTGAGAGCCATGGTGACTATTAACGGGTCCAAACCTCGGGGTACCCCCGCTAATGCGCCAGTGGGGGGGAGAGGGAGGCGCTGCTGCTGTGAAGGACAGATTCTCCCCCCCCCCGCAGTGTGTACGGCGAGGGGTGGACGACCCTCCCAGCCCGGCGCTGAGCGAGGGGTCCTGGGTCCTGTAAGTAAGATCAGGCAGGTGGCCAATGGGCACTGCAGGGTGTGTGCGGGGCGGGCAAGGGGGCGTCAAGAACTGACTGGGAAGAGGGGAGCCCCCTCCCCCCATTGCGAGGGGCCCGGAAAGGAGCTGGCTTAGCTTGCCCCCTGCTGGGCTTGGAGGGCAGAGCAGCTCTTCCCCTCCGCACCATCAGCCTCTCCTACTCCACAGGGCCCCCTCTCTGGGCTGGGATGTAAAGGGTACGGTGCGGGGGGCAGCCAGGACACCTGGGTTCTCTCCCCCGCTTCGGGAGGGGAATGGGGACAGATGGGTTAGAGGGCGGGGGAAGGGAGCCAGGGTGTTCCAAGGCGTGGGGGAAGGGCTGGGGTTGGAACCAGAGGCCTTGCAGACCCATTAGGACTCCCCACAGTCGGGGGGTTTGGTGGGGGCGGGGGCAACAGGGCTATCCCGCCCCAGAGCGGGTCTTAGAACCGCCAGGTCCGCCTCGCTGCGCATCGGCTGCAGCTGCTCCCGAGGCCACATGGTGGCGCCATTTCCCCATCAACGCCAAAGAGCTCCAACCAGTAGCCCCCACTTCCCTCCCAGAGTCCGGGAGAGAACCCAGGAGTCCTGGCTCCCAGCCCCCCTTTAACCATTAGGCTCCCTCCACACGCATAACCTAGAGAAACAGAAGATGCCCCTCACTCCCAAACCCACAGCCCTGGCTAGCCCACTCCTGCCCTGCCAGTGCCCCTCACTCCTGACCCACAGCCCCTGGTAGCCCAGCCCTGCCCCACCAGCCTTGCCGATGCCCCTCACTCCTAACCCACATCTCCTGTCAGCCCAGCCCCTGAAGGGCAGGCCATGCCAAGGACAATGGTGGGTCCTTGGGGCTGGCACCTTCACTTCATAGCCCTCAGCTGGGGGCTCCCAAAAAGATCCTTGTAGTGGAGCTTGTGAATGTTCATGGCCACATGGACAGCAGAGAAGGACAGCCTGGGCTGGTATGGTACTGTACAGTCTTTGGGAGCAAGGGTGCCAGGGCTCAGAGGGCCAGTGTGTGATGGGGGTTGGGAGAGGCTTTGACAAGGGTCCAGCATCTGCAATATCTGGCTGACACCCTCCCATGCCAGGGCTGTGTCAGCCCCCTATTGCCCACCTGGTCTCCAAGGACAATAGGGGTGGGGTGGAGGAGCCCAGGGGAACCTGTATGCACATATCTGTGCTGAACTGGGACACAGCCTGGGCCAGGTGCATGCTACATGGTCCAGGTGACCTGGGCAGCAGGTAAAATAGGCAAGGGGAGGCATTGCCTTCCCAAAACTGCTCATGCTTTCCCACAGCTGGTGTGATAGCTGGGCTCCCCAGCCACCCAGGAGAGGTGGGACTGTAGCCAGGCTTCTCCACCTCCAAGGGAGGGCAGAGGCCACAGCCCAGCTCTTCAGCTGGCCAGGAAGCATTGGACAGCTGCCCCGGATGCTCCGGCCAGCTGGGAAGGGTGAGGCCATGGCACCTGCTGGGATGGGGACACCAAGAGGGCTGGGGACAGTAACTAGGGTGGGGGCTGGGCTTGACTCCACAGGGGAGGAGGTAGCAGAAGGGGCAGGGGGCTGGGGCTTGCCTTCCCCAGCTGGGCCTTCCACCCATGCTTGGTTGGCTGTTCAGGGTGCCAGAGAGAAGAGGGGTGGAGTGGAGAATGGGAGAAGGGAAAATGGGGGGGGGACGACTGAAGGCAGCTCTGAGTAAGCAGTTGTGTTATTGTAGAGTCTCTGGGGGCATTGGGATTCTGTGTATGCATATATTATTGTAGGGTCTCTGTGGGCACTGGAGCTGGGAATGTGCTATTGTACAGTCTCTGAGGGTGCTGAGGCTGCTTGTGCAACTGTTATTTTAGGGCCTCTGGGCATGCAGGTGTTATTGTAGGATCCCTGGGGGTTCTAGGGCTGTGTGTGCAAATGTGTTAATATAGGGTATCTGGGGGCACTGGGCAGTGTATACAGTTGTTATTGTAGAGTCTCTGAGGGTACTGGAATGGCATCCATGGTTATGTTGTTATAGGGTCTCGGGGGGTGCTGGAACTGGGCATATGGGCGTGTTATTGTAGGGTCTCTGGGGGTGCGGGTGCTAGGCATGTGTGTTATTGTAAGGTGTCTGGGGGTGCTGGAGTTGTGTGGGTGGGTGTATTAGTGTAGGGTTGTGAAGAAGTGGGGATGGTATTCGCTCTGTTCACTTTATGTTGCATGTGCTTTTTACTATCCTGTAGTAACCCCATATGTATGCCTCAGTTTCCCTAGGCACTGCACCAATACCTAGATGGTGATGGGACTTTTGGTGTGAGTTTCTCCCTCAGGTACACAATGGCTGATGGTTTCTGTAACCTGAATCTGGGAGGGGATGTGTGACCAAGTGACACCTTTTGCCCAGGAAACTGGACTGAGGCCAGAGGTGAGGCTGGCTTTAGGGCTGGGGCCAGTTTCTGGGTGTGTGAGTTAGTCTCACAGGCTTGGGGTGCTGTCCAAGATGGGGGGCAGGGCCCTTCACTCTAAGCCTCCTCCCAGGGATGGACTGTGCTGGCTGCTTCTGGTTACTACACTGACAAGTTCTATGTTGTGTCCCTGTCAGTTCATAACCTTCTGTTCTACCTGCTGGCTGAGTCATATCTGATTGTGAATGGGGTGCACGGCCTGGTGACTTCCCACACCTCAGAGACAAGCCTCCAGGGGCATTGGGGCTCAATGCATGGGTGTGTTGTTACAAGGTCCCTCAGGATACTGGGCTGCATGTGCAGGTGTGTGATTGTGGGGTCTCTGGAGGCGCAGGGCTGTGTGTGTGGGTGTGTAATTGTAGGGTCTTGGGGTGCTGGGGTAATATGTTATTGTAGGCTGCCTGGGCGTGCTGCAGTTGTATGGGCAGGTGTCATTGTGTAGTGTCAGGAGGAGCTGGGGGCTGGGCCTGTGAGTGTGCTATTGTTGAGTCTCTGGGGCTGTATGTGCAGGTGTGTTATTGTAGAGTCTCTGGGAAACCCTGGGACTGAGCATGCTCATGTTATTGTAGGGTCTCTCAGGCTGCTGTGGCTGGATTAATGTGATGTTTCGGTGAGCGCTGGGTCTGCTTGTGTGTTATTGTAGGGTCTCTGGGGGTGCTGGGACAGTGAGTGTGGGTGTATTATAGTAGGTTGTCGGGGGAGCTGGGCATGCAAGTGTGTTATTGTAGGAGTTCTGGGGGCATTGGGGCTGCGTGTGTTATTGTGAGGTCTCTGGGGCTGGGTGTGTTATTGCACAGTCTGTGAGTACTGGGTTGTGTGTGCAGATGCTCAGCTCCCTGGGCAATCAATCCTGCCTGCTCTTGAAACAGCCTGGTGACATCCTTCAAGTGATCTCCCAGCCCCCCTGCTGTAACCACCAGACAGTACTACCCTACCAAAGCTGGGAGAGAATCCAGGAGTCCTGTCTCCTCACCACCCCCCTTCTCCCAGCGCCAGCTCCAGAGGTGTTTTGATGGGTGGTTATAGCTGCCTGTAGAGGATTATGGGGCCAGTAGGGGCCATAGCGGGGGTGGGAGAGTGGCCCTGCCAACTGGGAGGGAGGGGGGCTGGTGCCAGCATCTGTCTCCCCTGATTAGGCCCTGTGGCAGGAAGGGGAGGACACCAGCTGTTGGGGGCTTCACTCATTTCAACTCAGCCAGGGACAGATTGCGAGGGATTAGCATGGGGTGGGTATTAGGGGCACATGGGGTCTCACACAGTACTGGCCCGGATGGAGGCTTCCCCTAACTCCTGGCCCCCCTGATTTATCACACAAGGCTCCACTCCATCCCAGAGCCAGGGAGAGAACCCAGGAGTTCTGGTTCCCACTGCCACCTGTTCTATGCCACTCCCCACTCAGAGCTGTGAATGCAGGCAGCTGGATTCCTAACATGCCAAGCAGTCTCAGAAACGTATGCACCCTCCCAGATGAATTCTGCAGGGCTCACGTTTGTGGAGGAGATAACAACCTGCTGTTGTGACCAGCTTCCTTCCTCAGCTCACTCAGAAAGGATCTGTGGTGGGGGGTCTAAAGTCTCAAACCCAGCAGGTAAGGGACTATATCATAATGCATAGGAAGAGATAGAGTTAAGGTGAAATAGACATTCTTAACATCCTGCCATCATCCTATTGGGGCATACACAGGAGAAAGAGCTGGAGGTCCCTCGTGGCTTCACTTGTGGCCCCTGGAAATGTGCTGGTCCCTACCCCAACCCCCAAATCTGGCTGCTGTGTGTGTGGGGGGGGGGAGGTATGGCAAGCATCTTTCTCCTTCTCTGTTGGGTCACCCCAGTTCCTTTGCATAGGGAAGCCTCATTTGCATAGAGCCACTCAGCATGACTTCTGAGGGGGAGAGCACTTCTGGGCAGAGAAATGGGGGAATGAATCACAGCTGCTCCAGGGGACACTACTGAGCATTTGGAACCTGAGCTTGTAGCATGGGGGACCTTGGTATGGGAGAGAGGAATGCGGGGTGCATAGAGTCCATATCATAGAGGGAGCTGTAGTGTGCCTCTGACCTAGGAGGAGCAGGGAGGGGCACAGAGGGGTGTTTGGTTCTCCTAGATTCCCTCCTGGAACACAGTGCACCCACCATTCAGTGAAGGGAATTTTGAGTCACTCCCAGAAAATTCTGCCCCTCTCAGTCCTGGGTTTGATTTTCCCTATGGGACTGGCTCCAGTGCCAGGGAGCCCCTGGTCATCCAGCCTGTGAGCAGAACAAGGGATCATTGTTCTGCGGAAACTTAACTTCCAGTATCCCCCACCCTGAGTCACACTGGTGCCCCCTTTCTATTTCCCGACTTAGATTCCAGGTCAGTGCCCCCACCTGCACACACTGGGACTCTGCAGCCAGGATCACCCGTCTCCAATCCCCCACCTCAGCAGGGCTCCCTACCTGTAGCTCATGCCAGTGCGGTTGCCCTGCAGCTCCTCTGCTGGCAGCCCGGCCTCCAGCAAGTAGCTCTCCAGCCGCCTGCGCTCCAGCAGCCGCCGTGCTGCCTCCAGCAGCTGGCCAGGGGTGAGAGCTGGCCCATCTCGGCCCCCGGCGCTGCCCTGGCTGCGTCGCCGCACGCTTTCGCCCCGGCCACCCTTGCCCTTCTTGGTGGCTGGCAGTCCATATAGCTCATCAACGCTCAGCTTGGCTCCGGTCCCACCCCGTCCTGCCGGGCCCAGGGCCCCTCTTGAGGAGCTGGCAAACATGGCCCAGTGTGCCCTGGTGTCTGTGCTTTCTCCTCCGTGCACCCTGGTGTCTGTGTGCTTTCTCTTCTGAGAACTCTGGGATTATTTGCTTTCTCCTCTGGGCACCTTCTCCTCTGTGTGCCCTGGTGCCCGTGTTCCTTCTCCTCCGTACGCCCTGGTGCCCGTGCGCCTTCTCCTCTGTGTGCCCTACTGCCCGTGCGCTTTCTCCTCCATGAGCCCTGGTGCCTGTGCGCCTTCTCCTCCGTGTGCACTGTGTGCTCGGGACACTCTCCCTGCTACTCCCCTCCCCGGGTGGCCACGTGGAGCTGCGGCTTAGCCTGCTTGGCAGGGGGCTGGCCAGCTGCCTCACACAGTCCCTATCCTCATCCCTCATGTGCCCCCTGCCCAGTCTCCCCAGCCCACTCCCTGTCACTGTGTCCCTGTCTAGCCCTCCTCATTAATCTTGCCCCCACAGGGGACACCCCCCAACCCTGCACTTCCCTGTCCTTTGTCCCACATCAGGGAACCCTTGGACAGAAGCAGGGTGATCTTGTCTTCCTCCCCTCCTTACTCGATCCCCTCCCTGTGCCACCGTCTGCTGCCCCCCCATCCAGGGCCATAGGGTCCCTCCTAGGTGAACTTATCGGCCTGCCTGCCACCCTTCTCCTGTCATGGGCATGCCTCAAACCCACATTCCCTGCCCCAATGCAGGGGGCACGGATGGACAGGACAGCTGGTTCTCCCCAGCCCCAATAGATTTTTCCACCAGGCCTCAACAGGCCTTGCGAGTAGGCCCTTGTTCTCACAAGCCTGGAGATTTTTCACAAGAGACTCATGGTTTTCACCAGTAGTCCCCATAAGACCCTTGTGATTTTCATGAGTGTGCTCTGATTCTCACAAGAGGCCAGTGATTTTCACAAGTGACCACTGATGTTTCATGAGCAAGTCCCTCATTCTTGCAAGAGGTCCATGATTTTCACAAATGGGCCCCTGATTTTAACAAGAAACATGAGATTTTCACAAGAGACTGATGATTTTCCACTCGTGCTCTCTGATTATTACAAGAAGCTGGTGATTATTTGGGACACCTCTCTTTCTGAGGCACCATTTTAGACTCACCGAGGGGCCCACCCCTTTTACCCAGCACTGAGCAACTCCCCAGGAAACCCCCTAAAGGTGAGTCACCTACAATCACAAGCATATTATCAACCTAGTCTGGGAGGGGAACTCAGTCCCAGGGACCTTTAGAAGCGACAGCTCCCCCAAATCATCAAGACGGTAGCTTCCTGGAGCAACCAGATTAGCTAAGCTGCTTATAGGAACAGGAGGCCAGAATCCTAGGTTGGCTCAGAGCCGGGGTGGGGGAAGAGGAGGATCTGCCAGGAGTGAGGGGAAAGGGGCTTTGCACTGTGAGGAGTGAGATCACCCTATGGCATGCAGGCACTCTCAGTATGTGGATGAACCAAGGGAATCCCTCTCCCAGAGCCTGATAAGATGGGGGTGACGGGAGGAGCCAGGACTCCTAGGTTCTCCCGTTGGCTTGGGAAAGGAGTGGGGGCCGGTAGGTTAGAGTTGGGGGGCTGGAAGCCAGGGCTCCTGGGTTCTCTCTGTGGCTCTGGGAAGGGAGTGAAGGCTGATGGTTAAAGTTGGAGGGGGATAGGGAATCTAGGACAAACCCTGTGCTCACCACCCATAAGTCCCTGAAGAGCCAGCATGGCCAGGCCGTTCCTGGGAACAGGGGCTGTGTAAGAGGAAGGCTGAGCTGTGGGATCAGAAGGGTTAATGCAGCCAGCCCAGCTGCTGTGGGACTTTCAGGGAATTAAACCACCAGCCTCACGCAAAAAATTAATGCTCAATGCACCCACCCCACACCACCTGGCACTGGATTACACTCCCCCCACCCACAGCACCACAGCTCTGCTTGTACTGGGTGTGCAAAGACGGGCAAGGAAACCCAGAGCCAGGGATTGGATCCAGGAGTCTGGCTCCCTGCTCTAACCACTAGACTCCACAAAGCCTCTGAGGAAATGGAGGAGGGGGAGAGAAGGGGAGGAGAAGGGGTTTAAAGAGGAGGTAGGAAATAGGGCACAGAAGGGCCCAGGAACTGATTCAGAGGCCAGAGCAAGTTCCCAGCCAGAGCTTGACCTACAGCGAGCATCTGCCTCCTCAGGTTTGCTGCTGTGCTCCAGCTTTGGAACAGCTGCTGGCTGGATCTTCCCACCGGGAGGACCAGTGCCGCTGTCCCCTCAGGATCTGGGCCATGGCTCTTTGAGGAAAGGCCAGTCTCCAGCAAGACTGCACAATCTCACTGCTTTCCCACCCCACCTCTGGACCCTGGGGTCACCCAATACAAGCATGGTGAAGGACCTGGCACCATTGGGACATAGGACAGATGGGGGGGGCATGGCTCTGGGAGGGGGCCCTGGAAGCCAGGACTCGTAGGCTATGTCTATACTCACAGCTTCTTGCACAATAGATATGCAAATGAGGCTAGGCACTGAATATCGCTGAGCCTCATTTGCGTATCTCATGAGCCACCATTTTTGCAGAAGAGGCTCTTGCGCCAGAAGGAGATGTCTACACTGCCCCTTCTTGCGCAACAAAAACTCTCTAGCACAATGCCATTTTTCCTGAAAAGCAATCAGCGTAACGGCATTGTGCAAGAGGGCTTTTATTGTGCAAGAAGGGGCAGTGTAGACATCTCCTTCTGGCGCAAGAGCCTCTTCTGCAAAAATGGCGGCTCATGAGGTACCCAAATGAGGCTTGGCGATATTCCATGCTTAGCCTCATTTGCATATTTCTGGCACAAGAAGCTGCAAGCGTAGACATAGCCCTAGGTTCTGCACACAGAGAAGTCGGCCATAGCCCTCCCCCAGCGCTGGTACCTGAGCGGCCTGGCAGGGGATTAGTGGAATTATCTCTGCCAGATGGCTCCCCTGCATGGGTAGCATGTACTGCCTTTTAGTGCAAGGTGCCACCACCAGTTGAGCATGGTACCTTCTCCCCCCACATAACGTTATCCTCAGCCAGCCCAGTGTCCTGGCTAGTATAGGGTTCATCCCCTTCACCCTGACAAAATTGCTTTTATTAATGGGAATATCTCTCCCTCCCATGAAATGTGAGCACAGTCCCCGCCCTGGGACCAGGTGGAAGCCAGCATCTCCTAGACTGAAAAGGGCCAAAACAGGACACTTGGGCTGTGCCTACATTGGCAAGATTTTGCGCAAAAGCGGCTGCTTTTGTGCAAAATCTTGCGGTCTGTCTACACTGGCCGCTAGTATTTGCGCAAGAACACTGACGTAATGTACAAAATCAGTGGTTCTTGCGCAAATACTCTGACGCTCCCGCTCAGGATAAGCCCTCTTGCGCAAGAGGCCAATGTAGTCAGCAATGTTAATTTCTTGTGCAAGAGAGCGTCTACACCGGCACGGATGCTTTTGCGCAAAAGCAAATCTTTTGCACAAAGGCACATGCCAGTATAGACGCTCTCTTGCACAAATACTTTTAACGGAAAAACTTTTCTGTTAAAAGTATTTGCGCAAAATCATGCCAGTCTAGACACAGCCTTGCTGTTCATTCCAACCCCCATCCCCATCTATCCAGTGCCCCTGGGTGTTCTGTCTGTCTGCAGTTCAGCCCCTTGCAGCAGGCTCTGCCCACCCTCCTCCCCCACACAGACCTTCTCGAGACAGTGAAGGGAAGACTGATGGAAGGTGAGAGCAACATTTTAATTCACCAAGGAGACTGCACCACAGAACTGAGACCCACTCAGCACAACCAGTGCCACCTCAGCGGTCTGTACACACACACCAATACCAAGCTGAACAGGGGTTTGGAAAAGGAAGGCCCTCTTAGAAAAGGCCTCAGAGGCAGGCCTCCTGGGTTTTGTCCTGACAAGTAGAAGGGGAGTAAGATCTAGTGGGACAGAAAAGGGGGAGAGGGCTGGGAGCCAGCATTTGTGGGTCCTATTCCTAGAGCTGGGGTCCAGAGCAAAGGAGGATGAAAGTCAGGAACACACACACTCCTGATTTGCTGCTCTAACTACTAGATCCCATTCCTCTTCCACACCCAAGGAGAGAACAGACGTCCTGGCTCCAAGCCTCCCTGATATCCTTTGCACCCCAGATGGTCAGTGCTGCACCTGGGCATGGGTCCTCCACTTCCCACGGCTAGGGAGCAGCCCGCAGTCCCCCGCCCTCCTAGACTATCTTGGAGTGTTACAGCTTGGTTAGGAAGTTCATGGGGAGGCCAGGGCATATTCTAGTGGGACTGGGCCATGGATCCTACTGCTTCCTCCTGAGCCCAAAGAGCCTGGTGCTGCCCCATGCTGAAAAGAGTCTTGCAAGTCTCCCCTGCCAAAGGGCAGGGGTATCCAGACAGTTCTAATGCCCCTTACCAGGAAGTGAGTGAGCCCACCAGTCAGATCACCAAATGTACAATGGGTACACCAGCCAAGGGGGTTCGCAGGGAATTGTGTCACTCTCATTGTGGGCCCATGCTGGCTGATCCCAAAGAGCCAGGCCATGTGATCTCTGAAGGGGTGGGGCAGCAGGGCTGTGCCATGGGGAGGGGCAGAGCAGCAGCCCCCACAAAAAACAATCCGTCCGTGCCATGGCTGGAGGCTTGGGTGCAGCACAGTCCCTTGCCCCAGCACAGGGCTGGGTTCGCCTTGGAGGGAGGCGGCGCCGGGTGCTCAGCCAGCCCGGGCTGAGAAGAAAGGCAGGCCGCGGACAAAGCTGTCCAGCTTGGCACGAAACAGCTCGCTCTGGATGGGCTCACTCAGGCTGCACAGTGGGTTTTTCACCACGAACTCCACGTAGATCTGTGGGGGGAAGAGAGCAAGTGCGGGCTGGGGGATAGAACCCAGAAGTCCTGATTCACAGCCCCCCAGCATTCCGAACCCTCAGCCACCACGCTCCTCCCAGAGCTAAAGAGAGAACCAAGTAGTCCTGGCTCCCAACTTCTTCCGCTCTAACCAATAGCCCACATTCCCCATGGAGGGCTCAGGCCCAGACTCACATTGCTGTAGATCTGGTGTAGCACATCCCGCACATTGGCCACACCCAGGTCCGTGTTCATGACAACTTTGAGCCCGCTGGGCGTCTCATAGTAATGCAGCTTGTACTTGCTGGTCTGAAAGGCCAGGAACCCTTCCTTCCTGCACCCACACAGCTAAGGAGTGTGGGGGCCGTGGCCTCCCAGAGAGAGAACCATCAAGAAACGCAAGACCTCCCCCCCACCTGTGGTTTAACCTCTCCTGCCCCTCACATGGATTGAGAATCTCCCCTGCATCCTCTGGCTGGGCCCCCCCCCCCACCCCACG